TTCAGAAACCATGAAATTGTTGCCATGACGTTATAACACGGGGTTGCTGAGGCAAAAGTATAAAATAACTATAGAGTGAAACGGTCATGTCTGTTGATGTTCCGCTTAATGGAACGAACTTAGGAGCGCGATTTTTGGCAACTGAAACGGCATTGCACTGACAGGATGACAAATGAATTGTTACGATGGCCAGAAATTCTGGCACTCAGTTTTTTGCCTTGATTGACGTCCTCGATTTCGAAATGCTCCTGGGAGTGGTAGCCCGAATTTGTAAAATTCCGTTAAACTGATGCATTTATGTGAAGCCTGTCAAACCGAGAAGGGCATGAGGAATCAGTCTGCTGTTAGTAAATTGGTTTGTTGCTTCATTCGTTTGGCAAGTAAGGCATGTATGTGCAATATTGATACTCGGACATCTACACATATATCTTGAGTTGGCGAGCACTGCGTCTTTTGACCGATTCGACGTAACATTCGGGCTGTTTACATAAATGTAAATCTCAAGCTGCTGTTTGAGAGTCCGTTTTAGTTGTCGTTGATTTCTACGATTTTTACTGCGAAGTGTGGTCTATGCTAACATTTTTCTTTGCAGATTTTCAAAACAGAGCGCTCTGGCTGGGGCGTAAGAACACTTTATGACATTCCCATGGTAAGTTATCAATCGCTGTTTGACTTATTTAAACGTTTTGTGAAGCCACTGAATCTTGACCTTCGTAGATTTGCTTAGTGAGTATTATATACTTAGTTTTTATTTTGAACCTACTGTAAAATCACTTGTAATGGATAACACCCTTTATCAAACCTTCATCCTTTATCTTTCCCCGAGTCAAAGCTGTTTCTGAAAGTAAGGTTAAAGAACACTTTAGAAGACGAGGGTGAAAGATCTGTTCTGCATATCTGACTAAGTACTTAGTAACTGAGCGTTTCGCTGTATAAATTTTCTCTAAACGGCAGGTCTACTTCCGTTGAAATGGTATGAAAGGACCTCTTAAACTCGATGCTTAGTGGGATTTCTTGAAAGATCCGTTTTTTAGCGCGATGACATCTTGTAATATATTGTTGGTATTATATGGAGCATATCGCAGGGGAAAACGTACTTTCCGCTATCCGAAAGGAGAAGCGGTTATGGAAGATAATAATGGTGAAATTGATTATATCCTTGCAAGTTGCTGGCTGTGGTTACAATTTACAGTGCAAAACGCAAATATTACTCAAGCAGAAAGTTTTTCATTTTTCTGTTTGTGTAAAGGGTCGTATTACCTGGTATACTTAAACGCATACCTTCATTTTAGGGCACCTTTGTCTGTATTTATGCCGGCGGCCTCATGAGCGATAATCGCGCAGAAGCGCTGGGACACATTTTAGGCGATGAATATTATGCCGACCTGGATTTCCTTGGAACAGTGCAATCACCATGCAAATCTTCTCATATGAGTGATACACCGCAAAACTTTGAGCTTCAATTGTATCGGGAAGTATCACCGAAAATAGCGTCTGATAACTGTATTGACGGATCTTATCAAGAAAGTTCATTTGAGTAAGTAAATTGTTGTGTTTACAGTTGATAAGCAATTGTTTTAAGGAATAAGAGGCCGCGTATGTCCTCAACCATCAATTCGACGGATTCGTTGAGTTTGCAGTCACCAGAGACTTCCTTTGGGCCGGACACTCCTCTGACGGACATCATTTCCGGCAAAAGTGGGTTATACACAGTGGATGCGAAATTCGTTGGCAACGTCGGCAGATTTTTTAACCACTGCTGTAGGCCTAATTTGTTTGTTCAAAACGTATTCGTAGATACGCACGATTTGCGCTTGCCGTGGGTGACGTTTTTTTCAAGTAGACTAATTGTGGCTGGCGAGGAACTTCGCTGGGATTATAAATATGATCTCAACGTGGTTCCACGGAAATGCATTGAATGCGTCTGTGGGATGCCAAACTGTAGAAATGTATTGGTCTAGGGTCGGATTAAACGTGCATGTGTTGCCGACTAATTATACTTGAATGAAGATACGTTATGCGGTCTGTTTTGCGTGTTAAAATGATGTATTGAATGCTCTGTCACGTTAGTGAAGTTAAATATGACTTGTATTCGAGTAGCTGAACTGCCGTTTACCGGAATGTACAAGCCGTTATAATCGGTTTCTGCTTGTTAAATTGAGAGACTTTCATAAGAGGTACTTTCAGTTTATGAGGTACTCAAGCAGTGTGTAAAATCGAAGCATCCCAAAGTAAAAAAAAGAAATGCACGCCACACGAAATAGACATAGTGGTAAAAGTTTATCGGCATCATCAGTGAAGGAAGCTTTAGATATATGCATGAAGTAAGCGTTGATGTTTCGTTCTTGTGACTGCATGTTTAGTTAACGATGCGAACTTTTGAGGATTGCAGGAGGCCTCAAACCTGTCGATGATAAATTGTTAAACCGAATTCTGGAAATAAGGACTGATTCGTTGAAGTGGCTTTTGGACAGCTTCCAAACACTGCACTTGCCTTGCAGCAAAATGTCTTTAAATTTTTGGCCAAAATTCAGCATTTCTTATTGATTGATAGAATAATTGCGGTGATATATTTAAAACAAAATGTACAAGTTAATGTCTGTCGATTTTGTCATATGCTTCCTAATCGTTAGCGAACTGTTTGAAAATCTCATCATGTAAACAACTTAAAATTTTGCTATATCAGTCAGCGGTAAGAATTTTTGCCATCTGCGCTGGTAACGAAATTGGAGTCGCATGTTTAAGTGTATGAATAGACGGTTCATGTTTACTTACATTCTTCGGAAACTGTATTTGAGGCTAAAATTTGTCATTTACTGTAAATTCCAATGTCATTTATCTAAACTGTTTTGTGAATAAACATTCTTACCGGCAAAAGTCATTTTCACAAGGTTTTTAGTTTCTGGAAGCAGTATTCAGAAATGGCTAGGTGAAGCCCAGTTCGCTTGTACGTGACGTAATTTCTCAGATTCTTTGATTCCATAGGTTGCGGATATCGCATTTTGCTAGACTTTCGACACTGACTAAGTGATGCCGGTCATTTTTGAGATTTAAATGGCTCCTATGACAGACACTAAAAAATCTCGTACCGTCTGTTGTGCTTTTTGGTCGAAACCATGAATCAGTTAAAAGCCTGTCTATGCTCCTATGACTTTAAAGTTGTGGGGGAATGAAACGGCAGCCTGATGAAGTATGATCAATGAGCGAATGAGTAGAAAAGGTGCGGCAGTAAAATTCCTATAACCCTCAGCACAGCTGGCACGCGAACCTTAAAAATAAGATGAAAAGTCCAATAACACTTAGTGCTGTTTATTCCTCTAGATAGTCAGGTATCAGGCGAGCGTGCGTAGTGAGTCTACAAGGAACTCTAACATTGAGCACCATCAGTAGCATATTATATAATTTGTTGAATGATGTGAATATTTTTTTATTCTTTCTTCGGGAGTAAATTTTGACAAAGGTGCCCAATACTACAACTCCAGGCTTTTATGTCTCAACTAGATTAATTGGTGAACAGCTTTCAGCAACGCACGAACGGCACAAAGAGTGAAGCTTGACTACAATTAATTACGCTACCAATGCACTAAAGTTATATGACAAATTACTCTCTACAGGAATGCAACGTTGTGACTCAGATTACATGTTGAAAATCGAATAACGGAATTCCTGTAAAAACCTCCTTACTTGCTTTCCATGAGAATATGATGTGCAACTGTCAGTTCGACAACGAGAAGTGTGGCATCATTCAACAGAAATCCACTGATCCAGAAAATAACCTTAATGATTTTCGCACAATTATGAATTTACATTCTGTAAGTCCAAGACACGATAGCAGCTTCCTAAGTATTATATGATAAATTCATACCAAAACAGCTCTTAGTAGCACCTGTGAAAGCATGCAATTTCGTTAGTCCTTTCGTATTGAACGACCATACTAAAAATGACTCGCTAAGGGTTGTATATTCGCTTGCCATATCAAGTTTTGGACGGTTTACCTTCCTCATATCAAATGCCTAACTGCAGCCTGAGCACCACAAATAGCGGTGCATCTTTTGAAGCTCTTGCAGTGTTTTAAAGTAATCTCATTAGTGTCGCGCATCATTTTAATCAGCTTACTTCCTGTCGATAATAAAGGAAAAGCAATGGCGAAATTCGTGTATGCTCTTTGTTTGTCACCTTGATCTTCAGGTAACCTCAGAAAATCAATCAATGCGTTGTCCATTTCATGCTTGTTCTTGTTTTGAGTAAGCCATGAATGCAAGTCGATGCTCTTCCAACATTCGCTATTTTCCGTTTTCTGCCTCCAGTACCGACCAAATAATTGACCATTGGAACATCTCGACATTGGTGGCAGAACAGTACCACACTTCTGTATCTTCACCTCCATCGGTTATTTGTCATACTAGTAAATTTACCAACCCATTTTCTCTTGGGTTCGTGGAAGGCAAATTACATTACGCATTAAAGTCAAGGGACCGCATAATCATCTGAACTGCCTTACTCCCGCTTTGTTAGACTAGTGGCTGTCGCAGAAGGTGTCCATATGGCAGTCAAAATGCGTGCCAATTGTTTTAACTTTCGACATGATAATTGAAAACGGTGTCTGTCACTCCTTCTGCCTACTATATTTCAACACAAGCATTTTTCCACTGAAGGAGCACCATCGCAAATCATTCCTTTCAGCTTTTTAATGCCCTGAAAAGCGT